AAAAATGTAAAAAAAAAAAGATCATAATGGCTTTAATAGAAATTGTTAATTAAAATTGTATTTTTAGAAATCACAAGTTATTTTTCAGTATTGCATTAAATGCATTTCCTGTTCAATATTAACAAGCTTTTAACATGCATGAGTTTTGATGGTTTAACCATGGATAAAAACGCTACGAATAAAACCTTAAAAAATTGCACATGTGCATTGCTATATATATTATTATTATTAAAATTTTAAATAGTATCACATTGCATTTAGTGAAATATTAAACATTAACTTTCTTACACAATTCAACTATGGTGGTATTTCTTGAAAAAAAAGCTCATTGTTATATAAATGAATTTTAATCAAAAATCATTAAGTGCAAAAAAAAACATTTTTGATGCTTTTTTGTTTTTTTAAAGAAAAAATTCGAACAATAAAAAAAATAACTTCAGACATTTTAATAATTATGTATGCAATCATCATTAATTTTTTTGCTGTGTATGTGGGGATGGGAGGTAGAACAAATTCTAAAATTGGAGTAGAACAAACTATAGTGAGAAAAATCCTTTAGCAAAAATGTTATTTAGTGTCAACCTAATGAACCCAAGCGCTATGAAGCAATAAAACAACTAAGACTATATTTTCAGCATATCAAACAGGAAATGTAACAAATTTTTCCAGACAAAGACAAACAAATATGTGGATGAATCAATGGCTTAAGTTCAGAATGTCATTGTTAAAAAAAAGAAGGTAATATTGTTTTACAGGTAGGAAATCTATGGAATAAAAATTGATTGTATTAATCTTTTACCTTTCTTTAGTAAGCAGGTGAAACTGAGGATTTAAAAATAAGAAGAAATGACTTATTTTTTTTTTCAATTATATAAAGTATATACTCTGATAGAAATTTAAATAGTTGCTTTTATGATTTCATTATTAAATAAAAAATACTAAGTAAATACTAACGACACGTAATAGAATAGAATGTTAATATTTGTATTTAAGTAGTAATAAAATAAAATAAAAAAGATTAAAACAACAATAAGGAAACACTTTCTAATACAGATTTATCTAGCCTTTGTAGTAATAAAACAATATTTTAGTTATGTTCAAGGTTGCTTTTGAGTTTTACTAACTATATAAACAAACACTCTTGTCTAAAGTGCAGTTATTTATTAAATATGCTTTGTAATAGTTAAAAAAAATACTTTCATTACTAGACATAATTCAAATAAAATTAAATAAAATACAGTTCATAAAACTTAAGTATTAATAGGGAAACTGAAGTTTTTAAAGCTTGCTTTAATGTAATGATCCTTGAAATTAAAACTAAAAATTTCTTTTAAAAAGTTTATGAAAGAATAGAAAAAATTAAATAATGATTTTTTTTCATTAAATTATACTTTGCACTTCTCCTAAAAAGCTTTTTCTTTAAAATAAATAAATAAATTCCGCTTGTTATAAAATTATTATTTATTTTATATCTTAAGTTGCTTCCTTAGGATCTAAAAAATAATGAATTGAAATCGAATCCACAAATTTAGAGATGTTTCAGGACAAGATTTCTATTATAGTATATTTTTGTGTATAAATTATCCTTAAGGCATGTTTACTTATAAAATTAGCTAAATCACTGAAAATATGAATGTAAAATTTATACTTTTAATTTCTATTTTCAAAATTGCCTGGTTACTAAAAACAGAATGTTCTTTCAATTTATTTTTATTATAATATAAACCTTTGAAACAATAAAGTAAAAAAATAAATACATAATACATACTAGATCACTTTAAAAAATGAATTTGATATTATAGAAAACTATTCAAAATATTTTTCTCTGAAGATTAAATATAATTCTAATAGCCTAAAATCAAAGAAACTTAAAATTGCTTTGAGGAGTTAATCACTAAACAATATAACACTACAATGATTTCATAACACTCTACAGATTCATAGGGATGTAATAAATTGTTTCACCTTATTGCCAATCAAGGAAAAGAAATGAAAAAAATTCTACTCATCCTTAACAACTTCCAGACCTCAAAAGCTAAATTCTTCAATTATAAAAAACAGATAATTAATCAATTTACTTTTCCAAAATTAGAGTTGATGAGATTGTTAATAGTTACTCTAACTTTGTTAGAGCATCTGGCTTAAATTATTCTCTCCAACAATCAATGTCTTAGAAAGAAAAGAAAAAGAAAAACAAGCAAAACAGTTTTTCTTTTTTTCAAAAAGATTTTTTTTAAATCTTTAATTAATTCTTTACTTTAAAAAAATTATTAAAGTATTTCAAAATTACACTTAAAGGATTTCCTTAATTTCCAAAATCTTCCTCATTGCACAATCATAATTGATAATTTATATTGTAGCATAGCAACCCAAAAATACATAAGGTATAATTTTTGGAGCATAATCTGCAATCTTTATTTTTGATGCTTATTTTCTAACAATCGCAAAAGCACTGGCACATAATAATTAGATTAATTTCAATAGTAACACTTCTTTCAAAGAATTAAAAATTGAATAGTCAACCAAGAATTCATCATTAAATGTCTGCTTTGTTTATATCAATCTAAATTATAAATAAAAATCTGGAAATTATCATTAGCAATTGATAATAATTTTTTTAATGATAATGTTAAGGAAAAACATTTTATCTCTGCTGCACTGTGATTTGTTATTATAGAAGAAATAAAGATTGATTTATTATCTGTCATTATAGTGAGCTCAGAAAGTTTGATTAATTTATTTATTTAATAAGTCTAAATTCAGAGCTTTTTGATCAACTCATTCACAAAATTTTCCATAACACCCAACTTAAATTTAATTTACATAAAAATTGTGGCTATTTACCAAACAATACAATGATACCAAACAATACAATTCTATGAATGAAGAATTCAATGAATAAACTTTCAAAGGGAAATTGAGTACAACTTAAATACAATCAAACTAGATTTTAAAAATTACTTTATGCATTTTTAATTATTTTTCACTTAAAACTTAGAAAATTTAAAACCATTCAATCTAAAATATATGAAATAATATTTAAGTTACTATTACAATTTATTTACACAGCATACAAGACATTTTTACTTAAGTTACGAAAGATGAATAAACAAATAAAACATAAACATCCATCAAGAAATCAAAAAATTACTGGAAAAAAATAGAAACAATGAAAAAAACAAAGAACATGATGAAAAAAAATTTATGAAAAACTAAGATTTGGAACACATGCACTCAGTGATTAGGCTTAGTACCTAATAAAAGTATTTGAATTTTAACTGCAGCAGAAGTACAGAATTTCTTTAAAAACATATTCAACCAAAAGTTACAATAAACACTATACTTAATAAACCGAAACATTTCAAAAAATGGAACTTTCATTTTAATTTGCACTGAAAATTTATAAATGATGGCCAAAAAACATAAATATACCTACATGTATTTGACATTTACTTACTATACCTATAATCATTTCATTAAATAGACAATCAGCTTTTTACAAGTAAGAAGAAAGTAAATAGAAGTAATAAATTATAGAACAATAAGTTGTAATGAAACTATGTTTGATTACGCTTAAATTCTCCTGACAATGGCTATTAAAAAATGGAACAACTAATTTGAAATTAACTTTAAGTAAATCTGTGTAAATAATGGCTATAACAATTTTTTTCATTCATAAATATGCATCTTACACATTAGTTGACATTCATTTACTATATTCATAATCATTTGTTAAAAGATATCCATAATCAGATTTTTTACAAGTACCAAGCAAGTGCATGTAGAATCATATTATATTAAAAAATAACTGCATTATATACTGTTAATAGTAGTATAAAACTATTTTCTATTTACTTAATAATAAATCTTTCTTGACAATAACGTTTTGGGAAGTAAGTTTACATTAATTACTTTGATATTCAGAATTGTTTTAGAATTGTATAAAATTTGAAATTGATTATTAGATAAATGTCTATAATATATATAAGCTAAATAAAATTACTTAAGAAATGAAGTGAAATATAAATAAGATCGCATCTAATTTGACAACTGTAACCTGCATTGTTTACCAACATGGATATCTTAAATAGTTAGGTGTCAAATCAACTTGATCAATCAATCTAACTTTGGTTTGTTTATAAACAATAATCGATCTATAATGTTGACATTTGTTGCAAATTCTGTCATGAATTTATGAGAATAAAAATTGAAATAAAGGAAAACTGAAGATGTTCGGAATCAATTGGAATTTTAATTAGCTGATTTGATGATATCAAGGCATTTGTAAACATGCATTTTAAAAAAATTTTTTAAAGAAAATACAATGGAACACTGATCTATTTTATTAAATAATCGGTGCTAACTAAGAACGAATTGAAAGATGAACATGTAAAATTTGTAATCAAACGATTTGAAATTCCTAATTTTGATCATCGCTAATAACAATAAGATTGAAAATAATTCGTTCACCTCTTAGAGTTTACAAATCAGCTGGGCAAACAGGAGAGATCAACCAAATAATATCTCAATAATTGATTGTTTAAATTATCAAACGAAGAACTAAGTGAAAAATAAAAATGTTATACTTGATATCAAACGATTCAAAATTCCTGATTTTGATGATCACAAACAATAATAAGATTTTTTAAAAAAATTTGCCTTACAAATAAATGTGACAAAACTAACATATAAAATCTAACAGTCTAAGAATATAGCAGAACAGAAAGGAAAATCGCCTGAAATACATGATTATTTAACTAATCGACAAAGACTAATCAGATATGTCCAGAGGTCAACAAAAAACATCCCATGAACTGCCTGCTTAAATCCTTTTGTTACAACAAATGGAATGATTAATAAACAATTTTGTGAGAAATGACGACATATATAATAGATCTTAAATAATCTAGGAAAAATATGATGTATTAGAGTGATGTTTGAAACAAAGATCAGAATAGGTAGATGTGGAGGGGGTAGGGAGAAAGAGGGGTGGTACTCACCTCTAAATCTTCGTAGGTCTTGAAACAGAGGAAGGCAAATCCATCTACAATATCCTCTTGGAAAATAGGTTCCTTAATTCTTTTTTTACGAGTGGGTGGTCGTTTTTGTCGAACAGGGGGTGACTCTTCTTCATTTTCACTAATATCGGCAGCCTGCCGTTGTTGTCGCTTTTGCATTCGCGCTGCACGATCACGGCGGCGTCGGTTGCCAGTTGTCCCCCCTAGCCTCTGTTTGGCCTCCATGGGTTATCCAAGGGGAAAAAAAGAAAAATATATATATATTCTCAGCGATTATTATCCATGAGGCACTGTCGCATAATCCATTGCGATCACACACCGCGTACCACACACTAATCACGATCACATATCCATATCCGGAAACTTGGCAATCTTCAAAATTTAATAACAACTCTCCTAGAAACACTTCTTTATTGTACTGCTGTCAATCCCACTTTTTCGCTCAGCAATGGCGGCTGTACACACAACAGAAGCAGCGCCTGCCGCGTCACACCTTCCCTGACCCGGATGACGTTGCGCGATAGTCTACGCGCACAGTAAATAATCCCTTCTTAAAACATTGCTATTTAAATAACAATTCCTTCAGTTTGACACATCTAAACTAATAACTGATTTTGATCAATATATTAACCATTTTTTATGGTATTCGAAACGTTTTTATTGACTTGAAGTAAACTTATAAACATTATTCATTTCTTGTTTCTGAGATCAATAAGCTAGTGAGGACCCTCCTCTCAGCCCAAACAGAAACATTTCCTAATAAATTATTACACGTCAGTTGTTTCGTTCCCCAGTCCAATTAAGAATCACTTTTCCTAGATAATTCCTTTTATTCAAAAGCGAATTAAATATATTGTCTGAATTCTTCGACTATTACCGCAATTCATTACAAAAACTTTAAACATGTTTTAATAAATTAAAATATATATGTAGTATCGTTCAGTAGCTTAGGCCGCAGATGTAAAGATTATCATTATCCGAAACATAACATTTCTGTCATTTATTGTGTTAAATATTCATTAGCTTATGGAAAATTTGAAAGCAGTCTATTTATTGTTACACGGGCTATTCTATGTATTGTTAAAAAAATGAGTTAGCCATCTGACTGAATAATATACCGTCTGAATTACTCGTATGTTGACACATATTTTTACAAAATATTTTAACGTGTTTTAATAAATGGTGTATATTTTACGTGTTTTATCGTTCAATAGCCAATGGTATAAATACGAAGAGTATTATTATCCAAAACATAATTTCCCTGCCGTTTGAAAAGTTAAATATTTATTTGCTTAAGGGAAAATTAAGAACATTCTATTGCTCCATGCGTTATTCAATTCCATTTACTGCTTTAAAAGGGAATTAAATAAATCGTCTGATTTCTTCAGCATTTCTAATCATGTATTAATGAACTTAATGTATGTGCATAATATTTCACTTATAAGGTTATAGATACCAAGACTATTATCACCTGAAACAATAGTTTTTTGTCACTTATAAGGTTAAAAATTCATATATTTAAATTAAAATTGAGAACGTTCTATTTATTGCAAGTTATAAACTAATCCAAATACAAAATCTAAAATTTTAAGGTAATCAGTGGAATAATTTTTGAAAAAGAAAAGTTTAAAAATAAGATTTTTGAAATTTTATTACTCAGAAACTATTCGACTAATTTCTTTCATATTTTGTATTTTGGCATTTAAAACTACTTAAGTGTAAAATGATGTAAAACTTTGTTTACCTTACAATATGAAATTTTGTGACTATTACTAAGTATTATAATTAAAAAATAATAATAATTATCAAATATTTTTGCGTAAAATTATCTTTGGACAAATAGTTTTTATACTCACGTGTAAAAATTTGTTGAGTCACATATATAGCGTATATAATTCCATATATATGGCGTAATGAGCAAAAATGTGTAAATGAGTAAAATTAACATTATAAGACTCAAACGTTAGGCATCTCACGTGCCTTTACTATTGAAGCCATATTTTCCAGATTATGAAATTACCCCATATTTTGACAGACAAAGATCCAAATTCGTTAAAAAAAAGGGTATGTTTATTCAAAGAAAGTAAGTTCTTGCTTCAAATTTCCTAATTTAAGCTCGTCTTCACTGATGAAAAAAAGGTAATTAACTGCCTACCTTTTATTCACAATGGCGATGAATTCGGTATCTCCTCATGTTAGCTGAAAATAAACAAATGAACGAAAATCTATAAAGGTGCGAAAAATGAATCATTCTTTGAGATTGGTAGTTTATATTAATGAAATGATGAGTTTGTCTGTCTGTGTGTCTCTCTTGACAGTAGATGAAAGGATCAATTTTAACTTCCGATCTAAATCGCTTAAAAATTTCAAATAAATCGTACTTGGGAGACATTGGAAAAATGGAATATTATTGAAATAACTTAAACTGCAGACGATTCAGTTTTACAAATATTTTAATTAAATAATCTGTGATGTTTTTCAGCTTGTAGCTCTCATCGATAAAAAGGAATCTTTTGCACCTTCTTTAATACTCAATTATTTTTTATTCGTTTTATCAGATTAACTCAAAGATCAACATACACTTGGTAACATAAGCGGACTACGTCAGCTAACTAGTACTCCTAAAGTTATCTGAAATCGAGTGTTTATTTATTTATTTAATTTTTTTTTTATAATTTTTTAAAATTGTTTTTATGAAGCTAGACATTTATAGATCAACGGTAATTGAAATAAAAAAAATAAAAAAAATGTACTTACGTAATTTAAGAAACGTGAAAAAATCGTCACACTATTACTGATTGCCAATGATGCTCATTTAATTTTGGAAATAAGTACTAATTTCTAAAAAAAAGCTATGTAGTAAAAAGTAAAAATAGTGTAAAAGAGATACTTATATTTTTAAGAAAACCGCAAAAAATTAGGATACCACTTTTGACGCCAATGATGCTTATTTAATTTTGGTGGTAGTTAATAATTCTATTTTATTTTAAAACCAGCGTTAAATAGCCTCCCCAATTCTGAGTTTACGACTATCAATGTTCAAATTCGTAACTTTGTAATCCTGAACCTAACCCAAAAGACAAGGGAACTTCTAGATCAAGCATTGGGACAAACTGGCCTTCGAGATAGACTTTTTGATGGAACGATCGAGCATTTGCGTTATATGGAGAGGAAAACCACAAAAACCCCACACGATTAGACTCCCGACAAGGGGATTCTAAGCCATGATCACTGAGGATATTTACGTAATTAATTTTCTTATTAGGCTCTACGGGTATTACGATAGTTAGAGCCATTTAGATTGTATAGGGTCAAAAATCTATCATACTTCTCAAATCCTAACTTTGAATACAACTCTGAAGACGAGTATTAAGAGACCTCTTGTCCTGCTATCTTGGTTTTTAGATTAAATTTTCGATTTTCATTTTCTCGATGATTTTGTACTCAACTAACTTTTGACGATAAAGAACCATTCGATGCGCCTATACCTTTCACAAAAGACTGAAAATAAAGTGATTGATTTGTTAGATTAGGAGAAATAGGGATAGATAATTTTTGAAACTTCTATAGATTAATAAAAAACAAAAATAAAAATTAAGGCAATACAATTAAACAATTTTTAATTTTGACTAAGTAATTTAAAATTGCACATTTGTCTGTCTTTTGATTTATTAAAATTTAGTTTTATTGCAGTTTTAAATTAATACAAACCGATACGAATGACGATAAATATTTTTTAACGTAAATAACACAAAACAAATTACGTAAATTACGCAAAAACAAAGATATTAATCAAAAATCTAAATAGAAAAAAATATATAATAGTAAACTACGTTTCAAAAAATGTTCACTGTGGAATATATTCGTATAATATTATGAGAAAAAAAAAGGAGTGGAAAAAAACAAAAATACCGAACACCTCATATCTCAAAATCTGATTGGATGACGGGCTTGTATTTTGCATGATTCGAAAGATACTGGCGAATAGAATAAATATCCGCCATCGGTTTGTTTGGGAAAATTAAATAAAAAGGATTAAAAGAATATTTGAATCTTCCCTCCCTGTCTCCACCCCCTGGGCAGTTGAGTTTGATCGGGAGGGGGGGGGGAAGTTACGCAGCATTACAAGGGGTGGTAAACCATGAAAATTTCCCCATCTTTTTCCGATGACAATTCGAACCTACGATTTAACTACCATTGAGGATAATTTTTATCCGATATGTGGTGTTATGGAAACTAAATTTTCTTTCGTTTGTGTGGCAGCGCAAGTGTTAGTTACAATTAGAAGAAGAATATAGTTCAGAAGGCAACTACTTTTTATTTTCACGAACGGATTACATAGTATCCAGGTACTTATTTTGCTAGAATTGCCTTTTTCCATCAACATCCTTGCGAGGGTGTGGGGGGGGGGAGTTATATTCTTTAGGGATCGTTGAATATTTCGTAATTACCAAAGGGGAGAGAAGGTTTGTGACTTGACTTGCATATTTTTGAAAACAAAGAGGAAAGGGTGGAAGTGATGCTTACAAAAGACTCTAAAATCTCCTTCTTTAAATTTTTTTTTTTTTGCTCTATAAGTAAATTCAACAGAAAAATTTGANCTCTGTAAGTAAATTTAACAAAAAAATATGAGAAATAAATACATTCTGAAAATTTTCAAATTTGGAATAAGGGCTATATTTAAAAAATAAAAAGTTAGAAAAAAAATTTCTTCGAATAGTTTCAAACTTTTATGCAATTTTTTTATGAAATCTATTTTTTAATGAATTTAAATTTGTATGAAATAAATTTTTAAACATATTTTTTTATTATTATTATTCGAAGTTATATCTTTTATTTGAATTGAATCCCAAAATTGGATTACTAGAGTTTTTTGTTGTTTTTTTTCCAATACCCACCTTGAGAATGACCTTTCGTCTTACTGATGGGCAGATTTGTTGGCGACTCTTTTTCAAGGCCAACATATTAGGTGGGCCAACGTTACTCACACAGTAAGAACAGATAGTAAAAAGAAGGAAAGAACATCCATGCCTTGCCCGGGATTCAAACCCAGAACCTTTCTGATGCAAGACCAGTTCCCCGACTCCTAGGCGGGGCGGGAGGTTACTACACTAAATGTCAAAATGAAATCAAGGAGAAGGATGCGACTTTCTTGTGTAAGCATGGGAGAGGATTTATGTTAATTAGTTTATGTTAAATTTAATTAGTTTATTTTTAGTTTAATAAGTTCATTTAGTTTATTTTTAGTGACGAAGGAAGGGGGGATTCCAAAAGTGCCAAAAACATGATTTCATAAGATTTGAACTACTAAGACATCAGAGTCAATCGATATATAATTTATCTAGGACATTTACAAAGAGTATATTTTTTAATGATGATGGTTCACAATAAATTGTTCAATTTGGTAATATATTTATCGATTGATTTATGTAAGCCTTAATGCGTGAAAGAAAAATAACAATAATGAAAATATTTTGCTTAAAATATG